TAAAGAACAATTCTCCTCTTGGCAGACCATAGGAGTGTGAGCAACGCTGGGACTCTGAGCAAAAGAAAAGACCCAAATCAGCAAAACTGGAGCAGATGCTCAAAGGGTTAACGCAGCAAGAGTCACTAGGATCTTACACTCTGGCCTATACTCACAGTGTCCCCGTGTAATTGGATGCCTCCATCCAATACCGGCTAGACACTCCTTCTGTGAACCTCCAGGCCAGATCCTCAGTGAACCCCCTTTGGATTGGCTCCAGCTACTTTCAGAAAGTAGGCTCCCCAGCTCTCCCTGAGTTGGGACCTCCATGTCTCAGCTACTCTGCCCAGAAGGGCAGATGCCTTTCCCGTTAGGGTCTGCTCCAGGCCTCAGGCTATTTATGCACTCATCAACCACCTACAGGGCATCTTCACCCCAGAGATTGGTTTAGACCACATGAATATTGAAGCCCAGGGTCTCTCTCTTCCAACCCACTACATTCTAGATTCCACTAGAAGGCAGGGGGAAGCAGTTGAGCCTGCAGCCAGTGAGACCCAGAACTGTGAAAAATAAATCACACACGGGCGGACTGACCATTTGGAAACTCAGGCAGTGCCCGAAGGCCCAGGGTCAGTAGGGGGCCCCATGAGATGCCCCTGGTACCTTTTTCATAGGATTTTTTGAGTTTGGGCAAGGACACAGGGGCCCCATGATATGTCAGTCCGCCCCTGATCACACACCACTCTAATGATTACAGAGGAGCTAACAAACTAATTTTACCTAAACCTCCCTAGCAACCTATTCTATGAGGATGCTACACAATAAAAACTGGGAAGATCAGAGTGTCTCTGTTTTATGCTTTATATACAGCTGCTGATGTCTGACTGATAGCTGAACAGGTGTGGAAGGATAGTTACATCTGCTACAGATTGATGTATGGAATGGCAAGGTACTCAGAGGAACCCATTGTTTACCTTTTTCATGGGGAGCATATATAGGTTTACAATGCGGGAAAGTGTAAATTGCAGAAGAAGAAAACAAAAACAAAAAAGAGAAAACATCTGCATATCAGCTAAAGTAGTTTATTACATTGAACAAGCAAACGCTGCTCAAGACCAACTCCAGGAGTCAGAGCTATGATGTGTGTAGAGTGGCTTCATCACTGCTCTTTCCATGCCCTCTGATGTGTTTCATTCCGTGGTCCGCCTCTGTGACCACACCCCAATGGGTGGGGTGAAACATGTCAGAGGGCATGGCCAGAGTGGTGCTGAAGCCACTCTACACAATTCATAGGTCTGACTCTGGGGCTGGTTTTGAGCGTCATCAGCTTCTTCATTTGTACTTGAGACACTGGAATATCTTCAGGATGCGTTTCCTCTTGCAACGGGGTGACTCTTTTCCCTCATTCCCAGCTTCTGAGTGGCGCCATTACGCTTCACTTACAGTTTATTATATTGGTCACAGAATATAAATGTGCTCAATAAAAAAAATTTGGTTTGTTTCGAATTGGTAAAGTTAATTATTTTGTTTCCTAATATTCTTTATATTAGAATAATTTGTTTTTGGAATTCATTTCATATATTTGCTTCATATATTCGTTATTTTTATATTGACTTAAAATTCCCATTTACAAATTAAATTTTTTAAATTAGAAATTCGATTTTCAACATTTGAATTTCGGAAGACAGCTATATTAGTTCTATTTTACTTTTTTCTATTCTAATCTATTATATTCTAATCTATTTTATTCTATACTATTCTATTTTTTTATATTCTAATCTATTCCATTCTATTGTTTTATTTTCTATTATATTCCGGTATTTTCTATTCTCTTCTATTGTATTCTGTTTTATTCTATTATATTTTATTCCTTTATTTTCTGTTCTACTTTGTTCTGTTCTATTTTATTCTGGTCTTTTCTATTCTATTCCTTTATTTTCTATTTGGTTTTATTCTATTCATTTTTTAGCTATTCTATTCTGTTTTATTCTATTCTTTACTATTCTATTTTATTCTATAAAGCAGCCTAAGCAGGAATCATCCTCCTATTTCACTTTTACACCTTACTGCATTTATTGCAATATGTTTCTATTTCAAATTCAAATTCTTTTTTGAATTTAAAAAAAAAAAACAAAACTTCATAATTTGTTTTAGATTAGTTCAAAATTTGTTACTATTGGGATTTGGAAAATTGGATATATCCATATCTCTGATTAATGAAAATTTTGTGCAAATTTCAATTTGTAACAAAACAAATCGCCCATGTCTAAAATTTCCTACGGCATTCCTAAGACATGCCTCCTCACCATACACTCCTTACCAGGGCATTTGCTTGGACACTTTCATAGCGTCAGTGATACCTACAGCATTGTGTTTTTGCTATGCTGAACAATATCTAAAGGGCCCATAAGGAAGACTAGAAGTTTCTTTCTGGCACAAAGGTTTGTGGCATGTCGCTGGCACCCCAAAGGAAGCCCAGAAGCCAATCAGAGCATCAAAGTAGCATGAAGAGAAAGAAGGCTGCAGGTGATACAGATACAAGGTGGATACAAATCACAGGATCAATATTCAGAAACTTTAGAAATACAGCAAACTTCTTCAACAGAAAGTCATCGGGACCAAACTAAGACCAAAAAAATCGAATATGATCTGTAGAAATTCAAAGATAGACAGACAGAACAAGCCATCAGCACAATGACGCAAACAAAAACATATCCTACAACAGATTGCTGCTATGCAATCACAACTATTCCAGCATTTGTGGAATGATTTAATCCAGCACACCCTGCACTGAGCAAGATATAAACTTGCCTCTGTACTACAGCTGCAATGGTAAGGAATCCCTCGGCTCTAATGATTGGCGGTGTACAATGCCAACTTGCTGGAGGGATAGCTCAAGTGGGATCCCAACATGGCTGACTTCATCCCTGCTTAGCAGCTTTATTAAGGATAAGACAAGTGTGCAGCTTGGTGATGAGTCCTAAACTTTGGGCTGTAGCAGACACATGGTCAGTTACATCTAGCAATGGCATTCAGATACTATGGGTGGTATTCACACCAGAAACAAAAATATATTGCAACTTACCAATCCTTAAAGAGGAACTAAACCCTCATATTCCTTACAGCCAAGGAAGCTGCCCTCCTGGCCTCTGCTGTATCTGCAGCTGTCATGGTGCTGCACATGTGGTCATTTATGACACCAGCCATTTGATGGTTTGATAGTTTGGTTGCGAGCACAAATAAATGTGACCGTTATCATTCATGGCATGTCTTGACTGTAGCGAAATTTGGAAAACTGTTAAATCTGTTGGTCTAGTTCCACTTTATAATGTGGTGGTGGTAGTTTTCTTTTTTCCTTTATGTTCACTTGGTGATCTGGCCAGTAACACACTACCTGACAATGCTGCTGTTGAAAGATGTGCCCATTGCTCCTCTATCCAATCTGTGGAAAGGGCAACATAAAATGCACTAGATGGCTAGATTTAGATGGACCCGACCAGGGGCAGACTGACCATTTGGAAACTCGGGCATTGCCTGAGGGCCCGGGGCAGGGGCGGACTGACCATTTGGAAACTCAGGCACTGCCTGAGGGCCCGGGGCAGGGGCGGACTGACCATTTGGAAACTCGGGCACTGCCCGAGGTCAGTAAGGTGCCCCATGAGATGCCCCTGGTACCTTTTTCATAGGCTTTTTTGAGTTTGGGCAAGGAAACTGGGGCCCCATGATCTCCTATTGCCCGGGCGCCCCATGAGTTGTCAGTCCGCCCCTGCCCGGGGTCAATAGGGGGCCCCATAAGATGCCCCTGGTACCTTTTTCATAGGCTTTTTTGAGTTTGGGCAAGGAAACCGGGGCCCCATGATCCCCTATTGCCCGGGGGCCCCATGAGTTGTCAGTCCGCCCCTGGCCCGGGGTCAGTAAGGGGCCCCATGAGATGCCCCTGGTACCTTTTTCATAGGCTTTTTTGAGTTTGGGCAAGGACACAGGGGCTCCATGATCCCCTATTGCCGGGGGCCCCATGAGTTGTCAGTCCACCCCTGGACCCGACTAACAAATTAAAGTCAAACTCCAACTCACACCCTTTAATCAGTTACAGCAATAGTTTTTTTTTTTCCTTTTGAGATAAAAGTTTTACATAAGTAAACAAGAGCTGTCCATTGCATTGTGCGCACCTTTCTCAGTGGTATATGATTTGTCTCATCCCACAAACTGCCACTTTTGCTGGACAGCCTGGCTTGTTAAAGGAAGTTGAAAACTAACAGACTCCCTGGCAAGATCACCAGGTGAAAATAAAGGATAAAAAGCAAAACAAATGGAGCCACCATATCTAAGAATTGCCGAGCTGCGATATAATATATGTTTGATTTTGAGCTTAAAGTGTTCCTAAACCCACTAAAATAAAATCAGTTTGTACAGGCAATAAAGCATGCTTGTTATGCTCACTGTGGAATCTAAGGGGTTAATCCTCTGCATAGTGTAAAAAGGATGTTTGATCCTGTCTTCTCTGCCCCTCCTCTTGCTGAAATGAACACCTGATACATACTGAATCCGTACTCACATGCACATGCTCAGTTTGGTGTGTATTGTTAGAGAGGTTTTTTTTTTTCTTGGGAGAGTGCATGTGATCAGCACAGGGCCAAACAGCACTCTCAAGACAAAAGGGTCAGAGGTTTCACATCCTCCTGGAGCAGAAAGAAAACTCCTCCTACAAGCTGTAACCAGTGCTCTGCTGAAGTCAAAATACTGCTATATACTGCTGATGAGAAGAGGTATTTAGCAGTTTATATTTACTAAAATAATTGCATTTCCAAGTTGTGTGTACTGTGGGAGACCAGATATAGTGAATGCAGGGTCCGGGAAGAGCGGATATAGTGAATGCAGGGTTCAGGGAGACCAGATATAGTGAATGCAGGGTCCGGGGAGACCAGATATAGTGAATGCAGGGTCTGGGAAGACCGGATATAGTGAATGCAGGGTCTGGGGAGACCGGATATAGTGAATGCGGGGTCCGGGGAGACCAGATATAGTGAATGATGGGTCCGGGGAGACCAGATATAGTGAATGCAGGGTTCGGGGAGACCAGATATAGTGAATGCAGGGTCCGGGGAGACCAGATAGAGTGAATGCAGGGTCCTGGGAGACCGGATATAGTGAATGCAGGGTCCAGGGAGAGCAGATATAGTGAATGCAGGGTCCGGGCAGAGCAGATATAGTGAATGCAGGGTCCGGGGAGAGCAGATATAGTGAATGCAGGGTCCGGGGTTTAGTATCACTTTAACACTGCTCTAACTTCGCTACTTAAGATTATAATAGATGCAGAACAATGGAAAGAAGAAGAAAAGCTGTGTGCAATTTTACCCTCTTGACAGAAAAGCCCCTCTGAGCAGACAAGGCAGCTGCCTCTGTGGCCTTGTCCCACTTGATCATTGTAGGTTCCAGCCGGACATGGATAGGCATGAGAACTCCGAGTCCCTATAGGACAGTAAAAACCAGCTGGGCACAGTGACTCGGGTCCTGGTGGGTGTGATCTTCCTTCTAGACAGTAGTACCCTGTTGGCATAAACACTAACATCAGATCAGCACCACTAAAATGGATAACTAAAAATGATACAAAGATGGTAATCTGACCTGCAGGGCAGAGAGTGCATTCACTTTGCTGCGACAGTCCTTCCTTGTCTGAGAATGTGCCAGTTGGACAAGGTGCCATAGAGGAACCATCAGAGCAGAAATGACCTTAAGGGGACAGTAGTTGTAATACATATTTAAAATTTTTACTAGAGGGTGGCAGAACCATTCCTTATACACATCATTCTACCATGGTAGAATGTGATTTCTGCTGGCTTCTGGGTCCCATGTCAAGCAACTGCCCTGATGCTTACTGAACACAGGAGGTTGCTCACTCTGCACAGACAGCACTCAGAGAACACTTTGCATTTGACACAATGAATGCAAAGAGTTCTCGGACTGCATGTGGTGGAGATCATGGCTTCGTCATTCGTTGAAAAAAATGTTCTGTGAATGGTGCCTGTGTTGACCGAGTGACCTCCTGTGTCCAACTAAACAGTAGAGAAGCCTCTTGGCATGGGACCCAGAAGCCAGTGGCACATACTGAAATAGCAGGGCGCACTACAGTGATTTCCAGGTTCCCACAGGTAGGATACATATAAACATGGGTCTATATACTGTACCAATGTAACTGTGCAAAAATAGGCATACCTGGAATACAGCTTTAAAGTGGTACTAAAGTCTAGATGTTTTTTACCCTAATTTGCATTATCTGCATTAAGATAAAAGAATGCAGCGTTATCTGTTCTAACTACCTTGTCTTCTTCCCCATCCTTAAATACTTACTTGGTTCCATGTCACCGCTTAAGCACTCCAATGGAGCAATACCCTCCTGTTGCTGTCAGTCATACTCCAGTGTGGATGGAGCGGGAGCATGACTTACTGCTTCTATGTGTGTCTATGGATGCACACAGCTGGGCTCAGGACCTGACTGGAGCACACATGCACGGGTACCTCGTTAGTTAGCATCCAGCTTGCTACAGGGGGCACCCTAAGAAAGAAGGAGCCTACAATACCAGTGGGGACTGCTAGAAGAAGAGGAAAGCAACGTTTCTATGCAATATCAATAGCATAGAGCAGGTAAGTGTTAGCTCTTTTTTTTTCAATTAAAAAAAAAATGGAATTTAATGTCACTTTAATTGTATATCCTAGATTTCAGCTTTAACAAATAATTTTGCCAGTGTGTCTTAGGCCTTTTTCACATGACTGGTTTGTTGCAGCCTCTGGATTCTTGCTGCGAATTCTTGCTGCAGGAATTAATGGGGTATGCAATCACACAGATTGATTAGCTGTGGTTCTGGGACACGTGTCTGAGCCTGGACACAGTCAGCTGCATCCAGGCTTGGACATTTGTCCCAGAACCGCAACTAATCGCTCTGTGTGCAGCTACATGCGATCAGCAGCGGCCGCTGTCAGCAAGCCATAAGTTTTAATGGGCTGAGCAGCCAATACTGATCGCATAACCCGGTCATTCTTGCAGCAGGAATTCACAGATTGTTGCCGCAGGAATCTGGACACCACAACAAACCTGCCATGTGAATGGGGCCATAATGTTTCAACACTTTTGTTTCTGGGTACGGTGCATTCGCTGGCCGTATGCGCTCATTACTCATGCAGGCTGTGCTTCCTGCTAAGTAGTGCTGCATTATGGTTGTGCCTTACTGTTTTTCTTTGTCATTCTGAGTCTATCGGTCATGTCTGACTGCCTGAAAACAACAACTTATCTCTGAGATTTTTCTCTGCCTCAAAAGTTGCTGATCAGAGTATAATAGCAGTGAAGTGCAGATAATCAATAGAAGGTGAAACGACTATGCTATAATTTATTACAATAATGGAAATAGGGAACAGCAAACATTAGCAATGCTGTGCTTGCAATCATTACAACAATAATGTAAACGTGCTGAATGAAAAAATATACTATAGAGGCTATTTAAAAAATAAGCTCACTGTACACTTACAGCAGGGCAAAATGCTTATTAATGATTGGGCTTTGTATAGCAGTGAATAGCGCACAGTTAATTAGCAGGTAGCAGAACCGGTAGTTAGTCGATTTCAGGCTACTAACATTGGCTATGTAATTATGCTGCTCTTCTCTTGAAGAGGTAACACGCTCTGATCACACACAATGGGGTTTTTACCTTCAATTATGCCGTGACATAAAGAGCCCGAGAAATATCATAGCATACAGATTCATGCAGCTTCATAAGAGTTTTGTGTGCTGGGGATGGACATATACATAATAACTGAGCTTATACAAGGCCCCCCTCTTCTTCCCCCAACCCTCAATCATTCTTTCTGTTTCATCGTTTTCTCTCCGCAGTTTTATCTCGGTGGTTTACAGGCAGCGGAGATCATTAGATTTGCAGTCAAATGCTGTTGTACTATGTGAAATCTATGAGAATAATTACCTGGAGGACAGAGCTTACACTCTGACTGATCTGTAGATACGTAATAACCAGGATGGCAGGTAACTGATCGAAGAAGATCTTCTATGCCCAGAGTTGGCGGACAATTGTCGCATATACATGAACTAATCTGTCCGCTGCCGTCCTTCAGAAATCCAGTAGGTGCAATGACTGTGTGGATTTTACCAGCAAATGGACAGTAGCTTCCTGTGCAAAAACACAATGGGGTAATCATCAATTCTGACACACAGCAAGGCAGTTAAAATCAGGAGCATTGAGACAGATTTACTATAAAGTTAGCCATACAGATGTAACACTCTCCAGGTTACTTAGGTAGTTTTGTTTGTTAGATAGAAGCTGAGTGGCAGCCTGGGGATGAGTCAGCCTGGGGAGTGAGGTAGTGAGGTTACCTCAGAACAGGCTGGGAAGCTCTAACAGGTCAGGGCTTCTGGAGCCCTCCCACCTTTCCAGAAACCTGAGAGCTTTCTGGAGGAGGGGTGGAGGAGGGGAAGAGACCCAGATATGCATGTTTGTGGGACCTTGGCCAATCCCCTGGCAGGAGGCTGGGCATGGTGACCAGGGCAACCTTCAAATGTGGCAGAGCCTGGGGGAAGGTGTGCAGTATTGGTTGGAAGATGGATTGGCGGAGGCTGGAGTGAGGAGCTTGGGAGGGGGGCCCCAGGGAGGCCTACAGGCAGGTCACTGGAGAAGAGGAAGTCCACTGCCCTCAACGTCTCCTGGATAGGACAGCCTGTGTGGCAGGGAAGGAGCCAGCCCAGCGTGAGGCCTGAAGGCAGCCACCAACCCACTAAGCTAACAGGAGAGGACAGTGTGAGTACTCATATAGCCCCGGGGACAGATAAGGGGAAAGGGCAGTCAGGGGAAAGGGCAGTCAGGTGCAAGGCCCAACTAGCTTCTCCACAGGGACTGTTCTACACTAACAGCTCTTGGATCCCCTTGCTCAAGGATACCCTCAGGCAGCTGGGTAAAGAGAAGGAATAGTCCAGGTTCTGGGGAGGAACAGCTGGGAGCCTTCAGTGCTCTTCAAGAAGAGACTGTTGGTAATCTGAATCTTTGTACATAGTTGCTAGAAAGTTGTCCTCAAGTTCTACAGTTTCTCTGGCATTCCATATACCCATAGACCCCATCCTATTTTAACACCCTAATAAAAATCACAAAACCAAGCTCAAGGACTATTTACTGACTCCAGGGTGCAAAGTGTGGGAAATGCATGTTTCCTGGCCGAGCAGAGCATAAAAGGACCCGATTCAAATCCAATGGCCCTTGCGAGGGTATTGCTACACACATTACCATCTTATTGTACAATGCCCTTTTGTTCTAACCAGAGCCATGGAACATCAGGGCCTGCCTTATTGGATACATACAGTATGAAATGGATGGTAATGAAGGTCCTCATATTATATAGTTCTGGGAGATCTATAAGCAACTGTACAGAGATTGTACAATTAGATTGTAGCATGTAAGTCCAGCTTGAGAGTTCAGCTTCATTTATAAATTCATCACTCTCTACGCTTTAAAGTGTCACTGGGACAGAACAAAACCTGACCACTTCTTAAATCTGTCCTTGTGATGTAGGAGCGCTGAACCTTTTCGAGATTTGACATTATAATGTGATAGGTGAGTTGCGGTCCTAGAGGCTGCGCACCAGCAACTGTGAGGACCTGGTGGACCCCTGAAGGAGTTTTACTACATTTCTGAAAGGATGGGAGTGTCACACCTGCTTGTATAGTCCTTTGAAATATTTTATTTTGCTCAGCTCTTCCCATTCATTAGGGATAAAAAGTACACAATAGTCTATTGTCTAATTTTTAGCCCTGATGAAAGGGGAGGGCTGAGTCCCCAAAATGCATTGGTTGTTGGTAAAAAAAAAATCTTTCAAAAGGACTATACAAGCCATTGTGGCACTTGTTAAAGCTATATTCGAATCTTTAAGAAGAACCTGACTCTGACCACTTCTTAAAAGTGAACTCTAGGTACAGCTGTAAGAAGAACCTGACCACTTGTTAAAGCTAAACTCCAAGTAGAGCTTTAAGAAGAACCTGTCCCTGACCAATTTCTAAAGCTAAACTCTAAGTACACCTTTAAAAAATACCTGGCCCTGACCACTTCGCTGAGCTGAACTTCAGGTATGACCATAATTGCATATTTATACTGGTCCAGCTTGGACCAATGTAAGTAAGCATATTTCATACTTGTGGGACTGCTTTGATAGCTGGCAATCATTGCAGTTTTGCAGTGCTACTACAATGATTGCTACAAGCTTCCAAATCCTGTACTGAGTGGCTCCCTCTATGCACACTGACAACAAGGAGTTGCTCTCTCAGCACTGCTGCCGCTCACAAAACGCCTTGAATTTTGTTTTCAATGGATACAAGGTTTTTTGATTGGATGAGGTGGAGAGGAGGGGTGGCAATGTCACATC